ACAGCTGTTTGAAGCCATCTGGAAACCAATTTTTCCAAATTTGCATTTATAATCATTCTTTTAATAGGTCAATCTTCCTCTCTCTCAGCACTCCCACTCCCCCAAAATGAATATCATAGCTTTTGAAAAAAATCAGTTTTATTTTTATTTTTCACAAATTTTGAAACTTTATTTTTTGTTTTTATTTTTTCACATTCATTTTTTGGGACCTATTATGCACTGCCTGACCAAGTCTCCTGACTTCAAGTCTGTGTTTCAGAGCTCTGGAATCCAAAATAAGCAGCCAATTTTCACTGTCTACCCACTGTGCATAAGTTGAGTCTCCTGAAAGTCTGGGTTGGTTGTTGTACTTGGCCTAATATTGAGTCTGGACATCTGGCATCCACTGGAGAATCCAAAAAGGGAAAAGAAAAACATTTCAACAGCATAAGATCATGGACCAAAATATCAATACTGACATTGTGGTTACACCAAGCCTTTATCAAACATCAAATTGTTCATTCCCATCTTTGAATATCCTACTTTATGGTGATTGCATACCCATACTTGTCAAGGATTATTAAATAGAGAAATGCCCCAAACATTGATTGAAATAAAGCATAAACAAATAATCAAGTTTGACACAGAGATTGACCATTAATAGCAGGGTTCATGATTGTTAGGCCGGTTCATGTCTGGAGTTTAAGGCCACTTTTAATGCACTTAATGATAAAATTTTATGAATTTTGTAAAATTTCATGAAACATCAAGTTCAGAGGAATTTAAGATTTTTGAAAAATCTTAATGATAAATGTCATTAAATTTGCCTCAAAGTTCAGTTGTGAACTGTCCTATTGAAACGTATCAAATTTTCCAAGCCTATTTTAAGGTGTTCATTAACCATTTTTTCAAAACATAAACAGTTGTGCAGATTGATCAGAAACCCCCAACTTATCTGTCCAACTTTTAAGAATTTGTATGGTGCTGGAAGCCCATCTGGGCACACACCAAAGTTTGGCCAAAAAAATGTCAAGCGCACTGGGGCCAATCCCCAAGGCCCACTTGGTCAAACCTAGAGCATCTATGGCACCATCCCAACACCCGCTTGCCACATGCTCAAGTTAGAGTGGGTTGGGACAAAAGCCTTGCTTGGCCAATATCAAGCAAGGGTGCTACACCTGCCAAAAATTCCGGCCACCAAGAAGGAATCCCTTCCTGATGGCCAGCTGACTGTGGTTTCATCCCTCTCCTTGATTACTGGTTCTGTACCAATCATTGAGGAGGATGCATCCTTGGCCATTAGTTTTGTACTGGTCATTGAGAGGGAGTTGTATGATCCCTCTCAAGGGCCGGTACACACCAGCTGCTTAGTTGGGGGCCAATGCCAGGCTTGTGCACAGGAGCACCTGAGCTACCAATCAGCCCAGTGGGACTTGGCTACGCACCCGGATGGGTCCGAAACCTTGGGTGCAGCTATCAAGGCGCGCTTGTGACCCCGCAAGCACCTCAAGTGATCCGGGTGTCCAAACAGAACCCGTGATAGTTGCGTGTTGCTGGGACACGATTTAGTTGTCTCACCATCTTTGGGGGTGTCTCAGTTATCGCCCTTGGAGTTGGAGGACCATGAAAGGTTGGGTGTCATGATGGCACACCGGCCCTATGGATCAACAGGTCACACAGCCAGGTCGGGGAGAGCCAAAAAGTTGGTTGATCCAAGGCTTGAACCCAACCAAATCCTACACTGCTGAAACCCGAGGGGTCAGATAGCCAATTTGGATAGAAGACCAATGAAGGGGTGGGAGTATCATGAGTTTCTGAATTTCCCCCCGCCATTTACTCATCCGACTTGGAAAAAAATCATCCGAAGTCAAGTCAAGTAAAAAAAACCCCCCGATTGATTACTTTCTCAAACACCCACCTATAGACATCTTTCCAGGTGGGTGTTGGGAAAAGAAAAAGGTTGACATTGCTGGTCTGATTGAACCACCAGTACCCCTATGGGCGGACTGATGGAGAGCCCGGCCTTGAGCCAGCATAGCAACCCTGGGCTGTTACATTTGCAGGTCGCAGCGTGGCCCAGGAGCTGGTGCGGCCTGGCTGTGCTGCAATCACGCACCAGCTGGTTGTGCAACCAACTCACTGTATTGCGGCATGGGGTTGCCTGTAGTACTGGTGCACCTCGCCGGCAAACCAACTTATTCTGATTCTTCCAGGTGTGTATGTGCCAAGTCCTGAACCCTGCCTATCCTGTCAGATTGAGCCCTCTGGGCACAATCCAAACCCCTGGTGGGACTTGAGATTGTGACCAGACTGGCTTTCAACACCATAAATGTTGTTGATCAAGGCCTTTGAATTGGCTTTCAAAGTTTATAAATTTCAATCAAATTAACCCCGCCATTGGAGGACTTCCTGTTGTCTAAATTTGTAAATTTACAAGGAATGGCTAAACCTTATAAGTTATTGGCTGGTGAAAATTGTTTGACCTCAAGATTTCACCAGCAAACAAAGCTTAGCCGATCTGTCTAAATTAAGTCATCTGGTTGACGGGAAGTCCTCCATTGATTGCCCCAGGGTCTTCAAAACTCTCACAGATTATTTTTGTCAATTTGATGATCAGTGGGGTTCACCATTAGATTTTGTGAGGAAGGTATTTAAGAGCACTGATGGGAGGCTTAAATAAGTCTGCTGATGCCGGACCTGGGACCAACTTCAGCGGGCTGTGAGGCTCTTTTGGCTGCTACTCTTACTGACAGGGGTGGACCAAAGCTGCCCTTGGCTGCTGAGTTTAGCAGCTTTGGCAGTGTTTCACCCACCCCTGCTCAACTTCACAGTCCGCATTTAGGACAACTGTGACATATCAGTGACACCTTGGGACTTTGACTCCAGGCTGCCAGAGGCAAGCCAATCCACCCCCAAACCATTTGACTTGGGCACATGCCTCAAAAGTTGCCAGGCCCAATCGAAAAGAAAGTTTTTCCCAACCTATTTGTAGTATGCCTGGCGAGCATCCAGAATCCAGTCATCGGGCGAAGAGCCTGAGGCCGGATTTTGTTTGATTTGGTCGTATATTGCACAGAACTTGAGGCAAGCCTTTTGCAAAGCCTTCCACCTGTTCAGATAGATGAAAACAATTCAGAAGGATAGGGATGATAGTACGGAGGGAAGAAATTTACCTGATTGATATACCAGAAGCATCACGTCGAGGTCCTGGGGTGTATTTATTGAAATCTTCAAGCACCCGAGCCCAAAAATCCTCAAGTTTTTGATTATTAGATCGGATCGCATCTTCGGAAATCACCACCCAGCTTTTTGCAAGCTGCTCGTCCTCTTCATGGCCGAAATTGGGGGCTCGGTGTGGTTTGTTGGAGTCGGCCGGGCCTTCGGAAGTGGCAGGTGCAGGGGCTGACGGGTTTGGGGTAGCTGTAGCCGGCATGGTGTGGGGTATACCAGTGCCAGTGGAGATGAAGACCGGGTTTCAGCAGTCGGATGGAGTTACTCCTGCTTAATCTTTTGTGTTTTGAATATTCATTTGAGTCTTACTCCAAGGATTAGTGAGGAGCAAAGTTACTCCTGCTTAGCTCTAATCCTACTCCGGAGTAGAGTTTAGTCGGATTACATTGGACAATGGACCCAATGTGGTTGAGTACTCGGATTAGTTACTCTAATCCGCTCTTAATCCTCATCCGATGCGGTTGCTCTAATGGATCCAGGATTTTTTTTTTTGCAAAGTTTGAGTGATAGTTTTCGCTCAGGAACCCTTGAGGCTTCCTGAGCTCAGGAAGCCTTGGAGGTTCCTGAGTTGGAATTCTGAGCTAATTTAAGGCTAAAATTCAGCTCACGATTTCCTGATTGAGGAAGAATTCAAGCTGGGTTCAGGAAGCAAAGAGCTGATCATGAACCCGGCTATTAGCTTGTATCCTTCGTGATACTAAAACCACATATTTATATGTACCTGGGAAAGAAGGCTGTGATTTGGATTTGAAGGGCAGCAGTGGCAACATCTGCTAGATCATGGAAGAGGTTTCTGAGAAACTTTCAGCTCCTCTGTTTTTTATTTTTTCTTCTATGGAGGGAATTCTTGGAATGAAGTTCATGATATGTGTGGCTTTTATCTGATGGAGCTCAAATGCGGGCTGGGTATTTTTTCTAGGGGCTTGGTTAAACGACTCCCAAAAAGTGGAGAGCCGACTCCCAAGCCCCGGAATCCCCGAAATTTGGGAGTCGAACCCCCAAAACCTTTGACTGGTTTGGGAGTCGACTCCCAAAAAAAAACCATCCCCCGGTCAGTTTAGGAGTCGATCCTCCAAAACCGACCAGGGTTTGGGGGTCGACAAAGGAAAAGACCCACGGAAGCGGCCGGGAGGAATCTTCCCGGCTGCTGGGAGTACACTCCCGACGGCCGAGGGAAAACACCTCGGCCGCTAGTTTCCCTCGGCCCTCGGCCGCTGAGAGTACACTCTCGATGGCCGAGGGTGTACCTCTCAGCCATCGAGGGTATACACCTCGATGGCCGAGAGGATTCCTCGGGCCGTCGAGGGTAGAATTACACTCTCAACGGCCGAGGGAATGCACCTCGGCCGCTGAGT